CATTAATTATTTACTGATATTAATTGAAATTTTATGTATAATAATAGCATAAATTTATTATATGTTACAAGTAAAATTTTTAATAGTTTTTGTAATATCAGAATTCTGTTAATTGCAGAAACAATAAACATTTATTTTCAATGGAAAAAAAAATCAGAATAAAACTCAGCTCGCTACAAATTTACAATCTGCTAGCTTATGGAAAATTAAAAATCTTTGGTAAATGCGCCGAGCAGTTGAGCCAGTTAGACCTAGTCAAAAGGTTAAAAAATCATTAACAATAAAAAATTGGAAAATAATCAAATGCAATTAGACAATAAATTAAGCTTTTCTCCTTTGTGAAACTTCTGAAAACATAAGACTATAGTAATCCCCTTAAACAGGAAAAAATATTCTAGCAAATTTCATTAATGAGGTAAAAAATGCATTGCTCCGTAGCTCACAGTAGCAAATCACTTATATGAATATGAAAAAATATACTTTTTATAAAGGAATCAATTGGGAAAAGAAATATCATAATGTAAATTAAAATTGGTTCAAAATAATAAAAAAAAAAACTCCAAATGATTCATGCCATATGTTATTCAGTAAGCTTAAAGCTGAGAATAGCTGCATTGTTTTTCAGACACTTGATTCCCATACACAATTTAATTGGCTATTGCCAAACATGTCTCTAATGACACTGTATCTCTTTATGGACAATGATCAGGACTACTGGTGCAGGTACAACAGACATGTATCTGATATGCTGGAGATATGTTTTCCAGTGTAGATGAATTGGTAGAGATGCCACAGACTTGTAGAGATACGTGTTCGTAGATTGTCTGCTTGTGTAGATGGGGCTTTAGGCTTCACAAAAGATGTATATTGCCATTTCATGTGTTGTTTCTTTGTTTCTGAATTAGAAAGATTGCCCATGTTTCATCCCATCACCAGTTTAATAAAATACACACCTTTGTCTTCAAATGCTTTCAAGCAGATCAGAGTAGATGTTTGCTTTTCTCTTCTTCAAATCAAGTGCTAAATGCTGACTTGCCCATTTTATGCACAATTTTTCTTCTATATGGCACAGTTCAGTCATGCAGGTAACAACAAGGCCGGACACTTGGACAGCTTTCAAAGACTAATCGTGTATAGTCGGGGAAACATACTTATAACATATTTATCCATCCAGAACATAGCATAGCGACATAACATGTTTACAACATAAAATACCCAGTGTAACATTACCTACACAGCAGGTAGACATTGCATGGCAACATAACGTAGTTTATCAAAGACACGACATGGCATAGCCTTGTGACATGAAATAACATAGAATATAGACATTGCATAGTGACATATTTACAACATTAAATAGACAACATAATGTAACCTACATGATAGGTAGACATAGTGCAGCGACATAACATAGTTGAGTATAGATAAAACATAGCATGGCATATGGACACAGCAGAGCAACATAACATATTGAGGTTACATATTTACAACATAAAATACACAGTGTAGCATGACCTTCACGACAGGTGTACATTGCATGGCGACGTAACATAGTGTAGCATAGACATAACATGACACAGCATTGTGACATGACATAACATTATGATATAACATATTTACAGCATTAAGTATGAAACGTAACTTAACTTACATGAAAGGGGACATAGTGCAGTGACATAACATCTCATAGACATAATATACATAGTATTGCAACATAACATATTGATGTCACATATTTACAACATAGAATGTACAGCATAACCTACACGGTATGGAGATAGACTTAGCTTAGCAACAGAACATAGCATGGTGACATATATATTGACAAAACATTCTTATAACAACAACAAGAAAAAAAAATTACACAGCATAACATGATAGCATAGACAAAAGCAGCAGAACATAACATACATATGCTCATAGCATAGCGATATAACATAGCATAGCATACACATAACTTTGTATAATATAGCGACATGACATATCATAGCACACGGATATAGCTTGGCGAATTAACATTTTGACATAACATATTTAAAATATGCAACATAACATAACCTACACAAATCTGCATATTGTTACTAAACACTTTGCCATATAGCATTCTCTGCATGATATATCATACGCTATGAATACATTTTAAATCATAACTTTCTGCTGTATAGGAATCACAACCTTACATGGCCTACATGACATTGCGTACAAAAACATGACTTTTTCTGAATTAGGATATAAAGACAACAACAGGACATCAAGAAGTCCAGTCATTCAGCAAGCCCACAGATTGTGAATCATCTTTTAGCATGAATCAGTTCATTCACTTGCTGACATTTTATATTAGCTGTTACAGTTGTTGGCCTCCTACTAAGTAGTGTGTGTTTAGTGTTGGTTTTCCTTTTTTTTTTTTTTTTAACTTAATCCATCTGTGCATATTGTTCTTGTCAGTGGTATCATCTCCATAAACATTCAACAGTCTTCTGTGGATGTTGAAAGAGTTTACATGTTTCCTATGTCAAAAATTCAATGATGGCCCATTGCTTGTGCTTGGAATCCATTAGTTACCTGCAGTGAAGGAAGTGTTACTATGCAAAAATGTGGAATTTGAAAGACACATTTCAAATAATAAAAAAGTTATTGCAACTTTCATATTGCTTTCAATGTCACACTGAGTAATTGAGATATACGATGTTCTATTTCACTTTTATAGTTTAATTTTTAATTAGACTTTAGATATCTAATTTTTTAATAACACTAAGCTCATTCTTTAAGTTATGATAGAACTCCAAGTATCCAACATATGGCCATAGCCAAACTAGACAAACAGGCTGTCTTTTTTCTGTAGGTTAGATGTGTATTTGCCATAATGCAAATGATGACTATTTTTTTCTTTCATTTATTGGATTTTATCCAAGAAAAATTGCAGAGTTAAAAAATTACCATTTATTTTGTATATAAGTCAAGAATTATTACCGGGTATTTTAGTATTGAAGTTTGAAGATCGGTTTGCATACGAATTCAGAATGATGTGCAAATAATTCAATTATTGAAATTATATCTCTATGTCAAATTATTGAAGAACTGTTATTTTTTAAATGTAACATGATTACTCAAAGTTTCATTATTAGTATGTAGTTCAGAATTTTCTAGCAATTCGGGGGCATCTCTATCTCTATTAGACTTAAGTCCAGCTGAAAGTCTGTACCATAGTTCGCTATTAAATCAGCCATCTTGTAGATCTCACTCATTTTAGAGTTCATTTTTAGTTCTGTCTATAGCATTTCTCAGCGAAAATGGGAAATGTTAGTTTAAAGCTTGCAAAATATGCAATCATTTCCTGTTCAGACATATTTTAATATATAACAAGAAACAAAGAATTTCATTTTGCTTTTAAAAGTGAGAGTACATCTGAGGGAGAAGAATTCTTATGATTGTTTAAAAATGTTTACCACAACTAAGAAAATTTGCTTTTTCAGAGCACAAAATGATGTGCATGCCCAAAAGTTGGGAGAATTGAGAACTCAGACTGTTGAGGGCCAACAGTGCTATTTCATTCTACTATATCCCTTTTTAATGAGTCCCTATCCCTATTTCTCTCTTTCATATTTTATGATTGGAAGGTGAATTTGCACTCAGCTTGTCTGGTGTTCTATCTGAGTTAGTGACCAGTTATTTGCATTTTTGGGCAACATATGTAGAGGGATTTGGGGTGATTTTAAATTCATCTTACAGAGATTTTAGTTTAGGCTGAATTTTTATGGCATAATCTTGCCTCATATACATGAATAAGCTTATATTTGGAAATATGCAGTACTTTTATTTATGTAAGGCAATATAAAAAACACTTTTTTAAACAAAATGGAAAAATGATTTTTTTTAGGCTTAAAAATTCAACCTATTTCTATTTTAATTTTAACAATGGAATTAATTTTTATTTATGTAGGTCCTAAAACTAGAAAAGTAGCATTTTTATGCTAATATATTATATTTAAGCAAGTATATATTTTTCATTTGTGTAAAACAAAGCCTTTTCCTGTTCAGCTAAACTATTTTTCAATTCGCATAAAATTAAAAAAATAATACAATTAGCAATATAATTAAAATATGCTTTTTAAAATATGTATTATGCTACCTTTATGTATTTAAATTGATGGATTTATACTGTATTTTTTAATATGTTTAGTTTTTCATTTACTTATTTTTAATTAAAAAATCTATGTATTCAGTCTTAAACATTAAAAAAAAAAGTAACAAGAAATGAAAATTTCGAACAGAAGGTAATACAGCTCATAATTGTAATAATAACCAAAAGAAAAGAAAAATGGGCCCACCAGCAGCCGAGCGGTAAAGTCGCTGAACACTGGTAGTTTGGTCCAAGGTTCGAATCCCTTGAACGGGCTGGCTGCATGGGCGGTTTCGTGGTTTTTCCCCATGTGTAACATGTATACGAGCCAGTTTCCCTTAGAAAGTCCTTCACGAAGGCATCCCTCCTTTAGGCAGATAGCCCTAGTGTGCTTTGCCATAATTAAATAGACCAAAAAGAAAATAGAATTTTACCACAGATCATGCGCAATGGAACCATGAACAAAAGTTCATGTAATTTTTGGTATAATTTTAAAATTTTAACTCTGAATACTATAGGTTTTTTAAGGATTTCTAAGTCAAATGAATGTATTTTAATTTTTTTTTATTTCATCATTTCCAAAATTAGTTTTTGACACTGAGCTGACAAAAAAGAAAAAAATTGCTTCTCTTTCCATAGTTAATTAATAAATTTTATGAAATAAAATTTGTGCAAAAGGGTGCGTAACCTTTTTAAGCCATATCTTCCGTATGTGATTGTATTGTACAGATATGCATAAAACAGAATCAATTTAGAGGAGTCGGAAGTAATTATTTTGAAATACTTTGAAAGATAGTTCTTGATGAGTGAAATTTATTGTGCATTATATATAATCTGTAAGTAATTATTGACGTTGGAAATAATTTGATAAATCTTACAGGTATTCTCTTTGTGCTGCTACTACATACATGTGGTACAGGAAATATCTTCATCCTATAAAATTGGCTGTTTGAAGTCATATTGTGAGTAATAAAAAAGCAATAAAAAGTATTTTTTTAAATGGGTTCATAGTCAGTGTTTTGGAAGTATGCATATTTTATACCTTATCATAAATTAAGGTGTCTATTTTCTGTGGTTTATGCATGTATCTTTACTAACCAAATATTGTGTTTACATTGGTTGCTGAAGTATTATGATTTTTATCTGCTATTTGTATCATTTTTCTTCCCTTATCATACATGCAAAAAGCTTTTTATCTTTCCTGGGTCCGAAGTTAAAGATTTTGCCCCACCTTTATAGTACTTCAGAAATGATCTTTTATTTGAGCTCCTCTGTACATTTTGGAGTAACAAAAGATAAGAGTGGCCAGATATCTTATTCCATAGAGAGAAATTCTGATAAGTTAAACTGTTCTTTTATCTGTGCTTTAAGGTGTTCTTGCTGTATTTGCGTGTAGTTTTTGTAAAATCTTTATTTAAGCAAATTTTGCTTTATAATTAATTTTTAAAGTAGTATGAACTGCCAGTTAATTATGCTTTGATGTGAAACACTTAATGAAGGATGTACATGTATACTTAAAGTGAAGCAAACTCTGTCTTATCAAAAGGTTATAGAACTTCTGATAATAAGTGCCTTGAATCTAAAGAGAAATTGTAATCAAGATACATTTCTAATTTTACTTCTCAGTTGCAATAATGGAAAAAATAGTCTTTGCTGATACTTTCACCAAAACTTTCAAGAAAGTTTTGAAAGTACCAATAGTTATTATAGATGATCCTATATTTCGTTTGCACTACAAGTTTACTGGCTTAGCTCTTCTTTTTGCAAGTATTTTAGTTTCTGGATATCAATTCTTTGGCAAACCAATTTTATGCATTCAGAGAGATGATGTACCAGAGAACCTATTAAATACTTATTGTTGGATTGAGGGGACATTTACATTGCCGAAAGCACTTTCTAAGAAAGTTGGAGAAGAAGTAGTATATCCTGGCGTAGATAAATATAAAATTGGAGATGAAGTTGTTGAACATGCATACTATCAGTGGGTCTGCTTTGTTCTATTTCTTCAAGCCCTTATGTTTACTGTTCCTCACTTTATATGGAAAACTTTAGAATCTGGAAGGATGAAAGCTCTTATACAGAAACTTAGCAATCCTGTTTTACCGGATGAAGAAAAAACACTGTGCTATACAGGATTGGCAACTTACTTCCGGGCTCGACGAGATGAGCATCAGTATTACGCTATGAAATTCTTTTTATGTGAAGTACTCAATTTTATAAATGTGGTGGGTCAGATCTATTTCATCAACAAATTTCTTGGAGGTGAGTTTCTGAAGTATGGTGCAGATGTTGTTAAATATGTAAATGAGGAGCAAGAAGACCGCATTGATCCTATGATCCGAGTCTTTCCTCGTATCACCAAATGCACATTTCATCGATATGGTTCTTCTGGTGATGTGCAAAAGCATGATGCTCTCTGCTTATTACCTCTGAACATTGTAAATGAGAAGATTTTTGTTGTGATGTGGTTTTGGTTTGTCATCCTTGCCATTTTAGGAGGATGCCTACTTATTTATCGATTGATTATTATGCTATCTGCACAAGCCCGTTTCATTCTTCTTACTTTTGTTGCAAGTCTTACTTCAAGAGAAGATATTAAATCTCTGATTCCAACATTTAAATATGGAGACTGGTTTTTGTTGTACCTTCTTGCTGATAATATTGATAATCTTCATTTTCGTGAATTTGTTCTTCAACTCAAAAAACCTGATTATGATGGCTCATCTGAAACTTCTGTTGGTTACCCAAAAAGTATCGACTTGCAACTTGATGATGTGGATAAAGGTGATTTAAAATCATCTGGAAAGTTTCGTACATTTAGTGGAAAGGATGAAAGCAGTGTTTAAATGTATTTTGTATGTAAAATTATAACAATTAAGATAGGGGACAAAACTTTCAACTGTTAATTTTGATTTGAATTTTTTTAGAATAAGAGTATGTTGCTGATTAAAAACTGTGAATGTAATGTAATTATGTTTATGCTTTCATAGGAATAATCATAAATATTGAAAGACAGTTGATGTTCACGATATTTTTACACCTTAGAACCTTGTTTTAGCATTTGTGAACACTTCAGATAGTTTCTGTTTGATATAATATTAGACTTTTTAATTAAAAAGTAGAAATAATTTTATACTCTCACAGTTACTATTGATTTTTTTTTAATGCTAAGCTAGAAATGAAACCAAAACAAATTTTAAAATGTGTAAAAATATGAAATTAAATATTCAGTGCTTGTAAAATTAACAGTCTTTCAGAAGTTAATATTTTAGTAATGCATCTGTAAAATATCCTATTCAGAACATCTGCAGACAGAAATCAGTCATTTGGAGAGAGATGTATATTTCAGTACTTGCTTTTTTTAGTTTTGTTTTGAAACAATGTTAAGTAATTAGCATTTATTTTTTATTTCCAGTATTCCTAAAATTGTATTGGATAAACATTTTATTCTGTGTGTAACATAATTAGCATCTGTGAGTGCAATTTTGCTGCTTTATTTGTCAATTAGTAATAAATGAACTATTGATGTACATAACTTTCTGTCATATACATAAATCAGAACTTTGAGTTTTCAGAATGACATTAATACAAAAATAATGTTTTTGATATATAATGCGATATAATTATTAAACAATGTACTGTTATTGGCATGCTTTTGTATTTGAAATCTATGGCTTTAAATCAAGCAACAAAAAATACTTCATCAGCCAATATGTAGAGGTCGTTTTTAAATCTTTTGCTGATAAAGTTGTTCTTTATTGTTTGAAAGCCAATGTTTAGAAAGCCTTTTGTTACAATTAAGAATTTTTTATAAGATTTATCATAATATATGTATTGCATATCAAGAATTTTATCTACTCTGTGCAGAAACCTTGTGATATGCCAAAGTTTAAAGGTTTGAGCAATATTGTTAGTTCTCATATTCAAGGAACTGTTCATATTGAACTGTTCTGGAAGAACTATAGTTATTAGGCCTGTAATTATCAAAAGCAGGATACATATTAATTTCATAAATCTTAAGTTTCTCATTGACAATAATTTGCTGCAAAAATTTGTGTAAATTTTTAAAAAAATTAAAGGCAGTATGAATTGAAATGGCTTTCCTATAGGTCAGAAAATAACAGTCTTGTATTTATTTGAAGGCTATAGTTTTTAAAATTATATTTCTGTATTGTTTTATTATTCATCAATCTGTGAGCTAGAACTATGCATAGGTATTTTGTAACCTGAAGCAGAATAAATGCCCACTTATATATACAGTGTAGGGAGTTTAAAATACCATTTGGTGCCCTTCTATTTTATTATTCATTAATCTGTGAGCTAGAACTGTGCATAGGTATTTTGTAACCTGAAGCAGAATAAATGCCCACCTATATATACAGTGTAAGAAGTTTAAAAGACCATTTGATGCCCTTCTATGCTGTTCAACAGCCTAATGTTGAGCCTGTCTTTAACCTGCAATGAATTATTATAAATCTTATGTTTTGATGGCCTATATGCTACTGCATTTGCAATCTGAATGAATACTCTTTTAGTTACGAGCTTTTTGTTTGTTTTTCTTTAACCTCACTCATAAAGGTTATTCTGTTAACATCCTCAATTATGCAAACCATTGAAATTTTCATATTCTTTTCTGTGTAAAGTGATGTATCTATTTTCAATTTTGATATGACATACAGCATAAATATTCTGAAAAGTAACATTCCACAGTCTATGACATACATTATATGTATGTTCGAGATATATGATGTATACAATATTTCCTCGCATATTCCCCTCCTTTAGCTAATTTCATTGTCCAAAAATTAAGAGGAGAAAATTATATGAGTAATTTAATTTCCAAAGAATGTGATTACAGTAAGGACATAACAAATGAAATATAGTCATAGATAAACTACTGGAATATTATTTCTTTTAAAGAAATATACATTTCAGTAAGAATACACAGTAATATTAACATTGGAATATCTGACAGCGATGAACGTGCAACATGTCCAACTCTGTTACCTTGTCGAGACTCAGGAGTACCTCATATTAATTAGTCTTGACTGCGGTTCCCAAGAGGGACATCAGAAGAATAAAAGGGGTGAAAAAAGACCCAGATTTAAAAAAAATAAACACATCAGCAGTACATTAGGCTACAAAGAGTTGTAATGTAAATAACAGAAATAAGGTGAAATCACACGTTTAGTTTCTTAAAAACGAAAGGAAAAAGCATTGCAGTTCTAAAACATCATCGTTGAAAATAAAACAGTTCTAAATATCATAGTTTTAAAATGTAAAAGAAAAAGCACCTACTAATCATCGCATGATGATAACATTGCAGATATTTCAGGCTTTAGAAATAGCAAATGCCTAGTGGTGTAATTGTTTGTAAGCACAAGTAAAGATGGGGCATATTTTTACCTCTATATTTCATCTTCATATTTTTGGATTACTTAATAAATCTTTGCTAAAAAGCAAGAGGGAAGCATTTAAAAACCAAAGTGTGTAGAAAATTAATCCTACATATAGCAGCTAATAGAATTAAAAATTTATATGCTTAGCTATTAAAAGTCATAAAGTAATTATCAAACTGTAAAATTATTTTCTTTTACTTTTATTAATCTGATGTTTTTTATTAAAAATATAAGTCTCTTTTTTTCCCCAGTTCATTTGTCTTCTTAAAAGTGTGATTAATGTTTTTAAGTACAGCTTCATTTGGATGTTGATTCATTAGTTATGATGAAATATGTCAGGAGGAAGCTGCATAATATTTCAGTAGGTATTTGGATTTGTTGAATTACTGCATTAGGACATTTGCATCATTCATTGTAAAGGCTCAAATTAAAAATTATACCTAGAAAATGTAAATGCCAATTGTTTTCAGAAAGAATATATAATTAAAGTGATTTCTCTTGGTGACTATCTTCCTAAGATTAACAGTTTTTCTGAAAACACAAATAAAGATAGGTATTAAACAATACATCTCTAAAATCACCACATCTAACAGATGACTGAAAAGATGTAGAATCATCAATGGTCTCTTTAAAGAGGATTTTTTTATATTTAACTTTACATTTAGGCATTTTCATAAATAATTTCAAATACCGTTTAATTTCTTCAGATACATTTTATTTGAAAATTTGTAACTTATTATTGGAAATTTTATATCATACAGTGAACCATTTTCTTAGATGACCGATTCTAAAAGTGAAGTATAGCTGTGAAATTTTAGTATTAAATCTCATCTTTCTAAGATGATCTGTTAGACGGGTAAATCATTTAGAATCGTAAATGGTTGCCTTAGAGAGGGTTCACTGCATCTAGCTTTTGCATTTAGGTAATTTTTACTTTCTTTAGTAAGTATTTAATTTTATGTTTTTGATTTGAAGCAACTTCAAATATTTCTTGTCTTTACTTAACAAGTATTGAATAATGTCTTAGTGATATCCTTTGGAAGTGACCAATAATTGGTTTATTGTTAAAGATTATTTCATATGTTGATAGATAGGTATTTTATCCGCACTTTTTGTCAAACTACTGAGGGATATTGCTTAGGAAGTGAGACGATTTTGAGGAAAACTGGCTCATATTAATAATTACAGTAAAAATACTGGTTTTCTATTTTTTAAATCATGTTTTGTTGTTTTTGTGTTACTCATGTTTTTGTTGTCTTGGAATTTCTGAGTTTTCGAAATACCTTAATTTATGCACAATCTTACTAGAAATCGATAGCGAAATTGAATTAATACTTCTGAGTGATTTAATTTTACGTCAATTTATGCCCTTGGAAGTTTTAACTAGTAAATTGAGGCTTCTATTTGTCTCTGTAATTTTGTTTTATTAAAAATAAAAACTAATAAAATAAAAACTTCAATAGACATTCTCTAACAAGACTTTTATTTTCACTGAATGAAAATTTTTAATTACAATTTGTCGTATTTCAATGGCTAATGTTGTGAATAAAAAAAATGCCACTGTTTATGATGTATTATTTTAAATGTTTTATAAAGATATGGTTTTGAATGTAAATAATAACTAAAAATTAATATCCATGCTTACTTGCTCCCTGATTATTTTTTAGTTAAAGTGATCAGCTACAATCCTTTTTCAGTAAAAGAAAGATATTTTGTGCCTCTATGTATTAAACTAAAAGCATCTAAGATATTTTAGGAAAAAATAATTTTAAAAAAGGCACATTTATTTTCATTTTATAATGTTTGAAAAACATAATATTTTATTTCTAAATTATGTAAATTTCAATACTACACTTTATATGTAATGGAAATTTCGAGTTTCATTTTTATGTGTTAAAAAAAGTAGTTGCAAATATTTAAAATTATGTTTAGAATTTTATTTAATGGATCTTTTTGATAACTAATTTGCCCATGTGAAAAATTCAAAATATCTTCTTACAGATTGTTGATGCTCTCATTCTGAATTGTTTATCTCATTTCTAAAATGTAACTTTGGTTTTTCAAAAGAATATTCTCTGTTCTGCCAAATCATGAGCAAAGTTGATAGCTAAATTGATACAAATTAATCTTTTGCTTAAAACATGTTGCATTGTACCCAGAGGCAGAAGCAAAGGAGGAAAACAGCTTTTAATCCTACAACTTTAGTGGGTAGGTTCAAAAATGTGATATCACCATCAGAAAGGACATATCGAGAGACTAAGCAACTCCTGAATATTTGGTGTCAAAAGCTATTTTTTGAATAGAAAACAGATGAAAGTTCCAGTGACTGAAGAAGATGCTGCTTGTGCTTAGTAATTGAACAAATAAAAATAAAATTTCATCTGTTGACTAAAATAGTATATTTGCTTGTTCTAAAGTTGGCATGCATTTTAAAATGAGAACAGTTTGGGATCCTTGTTTGCATTTTGGTAAAGCCCTCTGTTTCTTTTATGTATATATATTCATATATACAAATTTATTTAATAATTAATTACATTGAAAAGTATGATTTAATGTACATTTTCCTTTTCTTTGACTAAAAATTAGCTATAGAAATAATAAGTAACATTAATCTCTTTCTGATAAAAAGCAGATAAATCATGCAGTTATACAATAGTAATTAAACACTTAATGTGTTTAGGTATCACGATCAAGACTTGAGCATTCACAGTTATGCTTGATGTTGATTCACAGTTATGCGCATAGGTATTCACGGATTCTAAAATGATTTTATGAAATTGTAATTAATGTATAGGTACCACATAAGAAATCTTGAGAACATTTGGAAAATATACTATGTTCTCTTCACAGTAGGATTTAAATAAAATAGTAATAAAATTTATTAACATTTTAAAAACTTTTTATATTTTAAAATGCCTTATTGTATTCTTTCCCCTTTTTTGAATGAAATTTATTAATGTTTAATTACTCTCGATATTCTTTCATACTACATGGCACTAAACAACCATTGAACAAAGTTGTCAGGGTTCGTACGGTCCATAAAAAGTCCTTAATTTTTTCAAAAATGATTTTTGGTCCTTAAAAATTTTTTCAAAAATGATTTTTGGTCCTTAAATTTTGGCCAAAATGAATAAACGGTCCTTAATTTTGTTCATTTGACATTTCTTATCATTTCTAATGATTGCCATTCTAAGTGTGAATTACGATTTCTCATGAATATGGAATTAAAATTACACGGCTCTTAACCAATCTGTTGGCGGATTTGCGTTGCAAACGATAAAAAAAAAAAACAATTAGCTACTCGAACGAAAGTATCGGTGTCTGATTGGCTATTCACCCAATCTTTCGAAACATCCATAAATTTAGGCAGATTGAGACGAAAGCGTGAAGCCGGAAGTTCTTTAAGAGGCGAAAGTCATGATAGAAAAAAAAAAGGGGGTGGGGATTCTAAAAATATTTGCCAAAATTAGAGCAATCCCAACCTGGAAGGACACAACCCTTCCGGCGCCAATAGGAACGAGATGCCTGGAAAGTGCATTTTCAATAAACTGTGGCTTCATCAAGCTGACTACAAAGACTGGATATTGATGGATGGCAATCCTTAAATGTGGTCTTTGTCTGAAACAAATTGAAATTTCTAGAATGGGAGAGTCAGCGCTGAAAATTCACATGAAAATTAAGTTTCGTTTTATCATTTCAATTTGTTTTTACACGGTTTTGCTTAGCTTAATTTCTGTGTTTGTTTCAATTAAGCCATAAATTAATTTTTTATCACCTTCTACGGAGTTTATTCTCTTTTGCACATACTATATGTATGGGATATCGGGATTATGAGTTTATTTCTGCAGAGGGTCTGTTATCGATTTCGCGGGAAATCTGTTGGCTCCATTTCGATTTTAGGTCGCCAAGGGCAAATTCGGTAACGCTAGCCGAGAAAAAGTGAAGTTCGGAAATACGTTTTGAAGCTTCAATAGACAATTAAGTATTTGGTTTAAACCTATGTTTGTTGATAGTAATGCATAATTTTTGCTAATGGCGATACAATTATTAGTTGAAAAAACTAACTAATTAAAAATTTTTTAATATTTTTAAAGCTGAAAACAACTAATTGAAACTAATTTTCCTGAATTAACTAGACGCAAAATTAACTTTCATGAATTACTAAAGTTATTGGGTAGAAGTTTAACTGAAAATATACATTCCGTATTATATATATATATATATACAATTACAAAGTCCGAGGTCTGGACTCGTCGGGACTTCGGCGATCCCAGATTTGAGATTTTTCCGGATATTAGATCATTTTAAATCTACTAAGATGGCACGTAGAAATTATAAAAATTGAAAATATGAAATCGTGATTTATGAAATAATGAAGCATTTATGATTTAAAGGGTATCAAAATTTACAAAAGAAAAGAGCTTAATATTTATATGTTTACTTTATTAAACATTTCTTTCAATGTGAGTTGTTTGATTTGTTTTCTCTGCTAATACTTTAGACTAATACTATAGACATATAATTTCTTGTTCAGTTATTAAGTTCCATTGTTCAAGTCCTGTAATTGCTGTGTCGAGAATTCCGAATAACTTGTCAATCAAAATTTTTTTCTCGTTCAGTAACCTCTCTGTTACTTTCTTCACTATCGGTAGCTGTATTTTCTGGATTTAGAACCATACTACAGATTTCGCCCTCCGTTAATTGATTGATGATTGGGCATTGTCATCGCAATGAAAAACTTCTGTTTAACTTCGCTAAATTCTGCCGCCTGGTGCGGCCATGCGAGCTCTGGCGCTGGTTCTGGCTTTATGTGAATAACAAATCAGTTATTCTTAATTCAAATAGCACTAAATATAATCGTTTGTCCTATGAGTATCATTAACAAAATCTATTTTTAGCATAAGGAAAGAAATTTCTGCTAAATCTCCCCTTGTCAACATTTTAGCGCATTAAACTTAAATCTGTAATCGGATAATACTCTGTTATTTGGCATCGCTGCATGATTCATCACTCAAGTTGTCATCCGTTGATAAACATGCGGTGATGAAAGCAAAATACAATAAATAATGATTCGCGATTTCGGCATCAAGGATATAAAAATATTAGTTGGTGTAAAATTAACAAATGTTTCGGTTTGAGATTATGCCAAGCAGATACTCAGCTATGGAGTCAAGTTAATAATCACACAAATTTATGCTAAAATAATTATTTCTTCAATAATGAGATATTTTATTTAGCGCCAAACTGAGATTAAGAATCGGGATTTCCGACATGTTTTTTTATGATGAGGGGAAAAAATCTAATGCGCGTGCGTAAAGCATACCTCTTCCCTTCAAAAAAGCCCTAAAAAATTGGTTGGTGGTGGCTTTGAGGTCCGGATTTTAGATCATTCCAGATATTGGATGTCCGGATCTCGGACTTTGTACTGTATATATATATACAGGGTGATTATAATTAAAGTTTAAGTTTCAAACCGCTATAAAAAAAAGAACCACTCATGAAAATGACGTCAAATTTGAAAGGAATGTTATTGAAGAAGGCGGAAAGCGTATGGCAGAAGAAAAAATTTAGTTTCAAAAGTTAGCAACAGATGGCGCTGCAAGCGAAAGAAGACTTAAATTAAAATGTTAGTTAAATTTCAGTGTTATAAAGCCACCAGGTACCAGGCTGTTCCTCATTTCGCGTCTCAGACGTTCGCCATGGGTGTTTCACTGCAGGACCGCGCTCTGCTGGTAAAGCTGTATTACAAGAATGATGATTGTGCAAGAGTAGCTCTGCAAAAATTCAGGACACTGAAGGGTATAAAAGAAGGCGTTGGTCCAATGAGTGTCGTAGGTCTAAAGAAAATGATGCAAAAATTCGAAACGACAAGGTTCGTTTGATGTGCAATCTGGTAGAGGGAGACAACGAGTGCATTCGACGGTAGTTGAAGAAGTGGCCACAGCATTACAGGAGGGGTCGGCCGGTGGTGTGCAACCGTGCAGTGCACGAGGAATTGCCCGAACATTGGACAGGCCTACGAGCACAGTGCTGAAAATTGTACGAAACATCCTGCAATGCTATCCGTACAAAATTGGCCATGTGCAGGAGTTGCTTCCGTCTGACCTGACAGCTAGGGAGACGTTTGCGTTAGAATTCCTGGCTCGCATGGAAGTGGATAATGAATGGCCGTGGAAAATTTTGTGGACAGATGAAGCCCATTTCCATCTGACAGGATACGTGAATACCCAGAATTGTCGAATATGGGCAACAGAAAATCCACTGGCAACGCACCCCGTACCACTTCATCCTGAAAGGGTCACGGTATGGTGTGGCTTTACGGCATCATTCATCCTACAACCATATTTTTTCGAGCAAACGGGTGCTTCCGGTCCTGTTCCCGCAACCGTCACTGGTCAGAGGTATGCGTCTCTTTTGTGCAACCACGTGATTCCAGGTCTGCAACAGCATGGATGTGTGGATGAAATCATTTTTATGCAAGATGGCGCTCCTCCGCACATTGCACATCCCGTGAAACAGCTGCTGAGGCGCCATTTCGGAAATGCTCGAATTATCAGCCGTCATTTCCGTACATCCTGGCCATCCCGATCGCCTGATCTTACTCCGTGTGATTTCTGGCTGTGGGAGTATCTGAAGGATGTTGTGTTCCGTGCTCCAATTGCAAATTTAGCGGAATTAAAGGCACGCATTTCGCAACACATTCTGAACATCACCCCGGAGACACTGCGATCCGTTGTGGAACATGCTGTTTGTCACTTTCAAACTTGTTGCACACAACGGTGGACACCATATTGAACATGTTTTGCGCCAGTCTCGCGACAGTTCCGAACTTCTTTGATGAATGGTTCTTATGCGGTATGTCGCCGCAAAACTCTTGAAACCGATTTGTCCCTTTCGATGTGATATGTACAGTCATGCAAATAAAATTATTCAACAATTCTAATTTGTCAATGCGTTTTAATGTGTAACTTCCACCTTAGCCATTGTTTTACGAATCATTTCTCGTTTCTCGTCGTGATTCTGCCGCTTACAGCGCCATCTGTTGCTAACTTTTGAAACTAAAATTTTTCTTCTGCCATATGCTTTCCGCCTTTTTCAATAACATTCCTTTCAAATTTCACATCATTTTCATCAGTGGTTCTTTTTTTATAGCGTTTTGAAACTTAAACTTTAATTATAATCACCCTGTATATACATCTTTCAAAATATAACTTACCATTATGGATTCACTCTTTTAAAATAATTCTACTTTAATTAAACTTAGGAGATAATATGATCAATTAATCAATGTTGTTTAGGAAATAAATTATATATATATAGTAAAAAAATATATATAATATATATAAAAAGTATATTTTCACTATTCAAGTATTCACTGTGACAAGTATTCTTAT